GAGTGCTGGGATTAAAGGCGTGCGCCACCACCGCCCGGCTAGTTCAGGCTTTTTTAAAACTCACTATATAGCTCAAGTTGACCTTACATTTACAGCAATCCTTCTGCCTCAGCCTCTTGAGCACCAGCATTATAGACAATGTGCCATCATGCCTGGCTCCTATAAGTTTATTATTATAAATAATAAGAAATTGATTTATGGCTGCAAGGTGGGACATGGCAGCACATGTCTTTAATCTCAGTACTCGGGAAGCAGAGGCAGGCAAATCTGTGTGTTCGAGGGAGCCTGATCTAGAGAGAGTGTTCCAGGACGGCGAGGACTGTATACAGAGACTTTGTCTCAATAAATAAATAAAAAAATAAAAGTGGTGGAGAGGGACAGTAAGGGGACAAACTAAAGTTTGACAAAAAAAAAGGGGGGTGGCAGTAAAATGGCTCAGTGGCTAAATCTGACAACTGAGAACCAATCCCCCAAAGCCCCAAAAGTTGCCCTCTGACCTCAACACATGCCATGCCATGTGCAAACAGCTCCACAAAATAAATACAATAAAAATTAAAGTTAGGGCTGGAGAAACAGCCCTGTGGCTAAGAGGCGGTACTATTATTTGAGAGGGGTCAGACCGGGCTGAGATAGGGCCTCTGTTGAGGCCCCTGGCTGTTCTAGAACTCAGGCTGGCCTTGAACTCACAGAAATCCACTAGTCTTCTGAGTGCAGGGACTCAAGGCCTGTGCGCCCCGCCCCCACCATCACCAGGCTCAACCTTCAGTGTAGAAAGTGAAAGAAAGGCAGCTTCGTGAAAACAACACTGGTTGCTAACACCAAACAACTGCTCAGAGGGAGGAGGGCTGGGCCCTGCCATGCTCTCAACTGGTCCATCCAGTTTAGGGGGTTTCCTCAGCCACACTTGGCAGCTTCCAGGCAGGAGACTCCCAGATCATCTGTCCACTCACCGCCCTGCTCACATTGTAACCCCAGTTGTTTGTTCCACTGGTCTCTAGTCACTGACGTAGCTGAGTTACTCAAGGACAAGGACTTGGTTTTCTTTCCTTGTCCCTAGTGACTGGCACACAGTGAATAGGAAGTGAATAGAGAGAGGGGAAGAAATTCGAAGGGGCAGGGAAGAGGCCTTGACTCAGGCCACGAAAGACCGCAAGACCGGAGGGAGGTGCTGACGGGAAAACTGCCCAGCGTTTACTCAGCTGCTTGCTAACCGGCCAGAGAGGAGGCAGGCGCTGCCAACTCATTGCTGATGGTTGGGGAGTAGCCTTTTTAAACCCAAGGCAGGCTCCTCTGACCTCTACCTTCGCTTCTATTTTGGCTGCCTTTGCAAGAAAACTACATTATTGGTTATTCTCCTGGGTATCCCTTCTCTTAGACGTCTAAATACTAAACTTTAGTGTTCCTTATATTAAAAATGATCATTTATCAACACCATTTGTCTGGTTTATTTCATGATAGACGTCTATAAAAAGCTATAAATGCTAACTGAATCTATTCTCAACCCAATGGCTTTCAAATGCCAGGCTATGAATAGTCTAGAAGCCACCACATTCTGTGGCTCTCAAGTATCATAATTGAGTTTTCTCTTCTACTCCCCTTTTCCCACTGCAGGCTGGAGTGTGACGCCAAGGCCTTGCTTACTTTATTCACAGCCTTGTCTGCTACTACTGGTTTTTTTTTTTTTTTTTTTTTTGAGACAGGGTTTCTCTGTGGTTTTGGAGTCTGTCCTGCAACTAGCTCTTGTAGACCAGGCTGGTCTTGAACTCACAGAGATCCGCCTGCCTCTGCCTCCCAAATGCTGGGATTAAAGGCGTGCGCCACCACAGCCCAGCTGCTACTACTGTTTTTTTTTTTTTCTTCATGTTTTGAGATAGGGTCTCATACAGCCAGGGGTTGGCCTAAAACTTAAGATGTAGCCAATAATCTTGAACTCTCCATCTCCAAGTGCTGTGATTAGAGGTCTGTTCCTCTATATCCAGGGCCACTACTTCTTGAAACATCCTTTCAGATTAAGTAGCACCAGAATATTTGGCTTTTCTCCTACTCTATGGCTACTTCTTGTCATCCTTATAGAAACATTTTTCTTTTATTGGTAGAATGTTAGAATTCTTTCAGCCTGGAATCTACATCTATTTCTGTCCCTACTTCATTCTCTTTGTCTAAGTGACAGAATCCATGTCTGTGGCTTCAATGACCATCTAAAATTAGATGAGTTCTAGATGTTTCTCAAGTTCTAATCTCTTCTTACCCATTTGCTCCCATCTCTGCTCCCCACTTACCGGTCACTCTGCATTATATGAGTTTCCCTCTGCCCAGTTTCCTAACACTCAAGCACTGCCAAAGCCAGTGACAACTTCATACTTCTGTTCCCTAACCTTTCTGAGGCAAGGGACACACTGAGCCACTCTCCTGAAATTTTCCCTTATTTGGAAGTACTCTCTCAGTTTTGGGTAATTGCCTTTCAATCATTTTTAGTGGCTCTTCTACCTGCTTCTTGGAACCGGCTTCTACAAGCTGAGAAAGGTGGATATGACCAAGATACACTGATATTGCATAGGGGGCTGGAGAGACGGTTTAGTGGTTAAGAGTGCTTGCCACCACTACAGAGAACCTGGTTCAGTTCCTAGCACCTACACAGCAGTTTACAATGGCCGGTAATTCCAGTTTCAGGAGATCTGCTCTGCTGGCACCAGGTACTCATGTGGTGCACAGAAATCCAGTCTGACACATAAATCAGTAAAATGGGTTTTTAAAAGATACATTGCATACATGTAAATGTGAAGAAATATAAAGCCACAAGCTAGCCTATGAGTAAATGGGCAATCAATGCCACCTTAGGTGGAGCTGGCAGGAAGTCAAGCAGCAGCTCAAGAATGCTGTGCCCCACTACTCGTATCTCATGCAGTGGTAGGGGTGGGGGAGATCCCCCCCTCTACAGCCTGCAACAGATGAGAGAGCTGACCCTCCCCCTTACCAGCTGCAGCACTCAGGAAAGTGGGCTCTGCCTCGCCTAGGCAGCACAGCAGAGTTGGCCAGGTATTTGGAGGCAAGGGTGACCCAGCAAAGGGGAACTGTCTCCATTACTCATCTGACATGTGGCAGCATGGGCGGAGGAGAGATGCACCCCCAAACCCCGCTCATCAATGCCTGAGCCAGGTGGAGGAGCTGGCCATGGGGTCATCAGAGTGGGAGAGCTGTCCCTACCCCTCACCAGCTGCAGCACTGGAAGGAGAGGCCACTGTACCTCACAAGGTAGCACAGTGGAGCTGGCCCTGGTGGTGCAGGTGTGGAAGAGCAGACCCTGAGGGCCTGACAGGAGAACCGGCCCCACCCCTCCCTCATTGCCAAGGGACGAATTGGGGGGGAGGGGGCCAGGGCCAGGACAGTACTGGAGAGCTCACCCTGGTGGTGAGGACAGGGCAGAACTGGTGGGGATCAACCCTGCAGCAGCCCAGGCCCAGAACCAGGGTTATGACTTTTGACTTCACTGGCCTCAACACCCACCCCATCTATCCTGCAGGAGCACGTAAAGAAACCTGACCTACAGATCCAAAGCTACAGGATCTCCACAACACAGGGTAACCACAGGATATCCAAAAGAGTCCTAGTGAGGGCCCAGCATTGATAGTGTAGCAGAAACCAGGAACCTCGAACAGACCAAGGACTCTTTGCAACAAACACTTGGGAGTAAAGATGTGTGGACAAAAGGCTTTACTGCGTGACTCACTGTATCACACTACAGCTCCCATGAGGAGATTTTAAAATTTTTTCCCTTTTTTCCCCCTTCTCTTAAATTTTGCTTTATTTTGGGGGATACAGGGGCAGAGGGTGGATGTGAAGGGACAGGGAAATGAATGGGATCAAGATACATGATGTAGGGCTGGAGAGATGGCTCAGAGGTTAAGAGCATTGCCTGCTCTTCCAAAGGTCCTGAGTTCAATTCCCAGCAACCACATGGTGGCTCACAACTATCTGTAATGAGGTCTGGTGCCCCCTTCTGGCCTTCAGGCATACATGCAGACAGAACACTATACATAATAAATAAATATTAAAAAAAAATACATGATGTGAAAAAAAGAAAAGAAAAAATACAGGAAAAAAGAATGTTGTGCACTGTTGTTTTAGACAGTCTTACTTTGTAGCTCAGGCTAGCCTAGACCCTGCTATGAAGCACAGGATGACCTCAAATTGATGTCAATCCTCGTGCCTTGACTTTCTGAGTGCTGGGATTACAGGTGTGAACCCAAGTCTACCTTTAGTTCGTTCTTTATGGTAAAAGAATGGTGAGCCGTGATCTAACCTCTCTTTTGGTCGAAGCCTCTCCTTGCCTACTGAAGGCAGAAATTAGTATCATTTATCCCCTTTCAAAATTTTCAAGAAGTTAATTCAGTATCAACTATTTAATTTCTAAAAAGCAACAGCTACTTAATAAAGTTAATAAACTCACCTCGCTTCAGGCCGCAGAGGTTATAGCTGAGTGGCAGAGTGCACACAGAGCATGCTTGAGTTCCCTCGTTCCGTCCCCAGTACCATCAGTAAGTCAGAACGTGAATAAGGAAATGGAGTTTCATACTTGAATGAAGTCAAAATTTATTGACTGTAATACAAAACAAGCTAAGACTGAAAGCTGCCATTTGACAGGAACAGATCTATCCGTGTAGTTTTCTTCCTGGAGAGGGTGTGCACTCAAGTCGTCTAACCTAAGATAGAATGAAGACTTAGATTGTCAGCAGCTAACGAAAGACTACACTTTACCTATAAATAGGAAAAAATTGCTAAAGGCAAAACAAGACATTTACAATTTTTTTGATGCTAAGTTCACAGAAGTAAACAAAACAAGCTATAATTACAAAAACTTCAGACACAGAATATAGATGTAACATGACTATTTAAATCTTTTCCATCAGCCATAATCTCTCTTCCACTCTACTTGTGCTACGATTACATGCTTGTTGCTTCTACACTACAGAGTCAACAGTTATCACCAACAATGCAAAACAGTTAGACCCCGACAAGACTTCGTGTGCTTCTGCTCCACTCAAGCTAAGATGCTCTAAGCCAGGATTAAGAACACCTGTTGATTTTAGCCCCTGCTCCGTTTCGCTTGTGTCATACAAAGTCCTTACTTTGCATTTGCAATGTTCTTGCTACCGTCTTTGTCTGAGACATTAAAATTAACTTGTGAAAACTGCAAAAAACAATGAAATTGTACTTCCGATTCTGAGCCTGCAATCTTATTCCTGCTTAGACACACTACACTCCTCTATAGTGCATCCCACCAGCACAGCGACCCCTTTCCTTGTTCTCTGTTCCTTTGCCCTGAAGGCACTTCTGGATAGCATAATACGTGCTCTTTGGCTGCCTGGACAGTCAGGACACCTATGGCCATTGAGTCTTCTCACTCTTCTCCTCCTTCTTTTCTATGGCTAATACCACTTTCCTGCTTTCTGTCCACCGGGGAATCTCCAGACTTGATGTTGTCATCAGGGGGACAGAGTCGATTTCGGCTTCGGGCTCCTGGTTGGTACAGCTGCATTGCTGGACGATCCTAAAACAAAGCGAAATATTCACGTTACAGCACTGTTACTCCTCTTTAACATGGGGGGAGGGGGATTTCAGAGCCCTAAATGATGCATTCATATACCCCCAAATCAAGTCATACCAGGTCAAAGACCTGAATGTGTGCTACGTAATAACTTCCCAATTTCTCTCTCTATATGAAAAGCAACCTTTTTTTGAAAGGAGGGATTGAAACAAGAGCCTTGTGCGTGGTAGATAAGTGCTCCACTGAACTGTATTTCCAACCCTTTTTCTATTTATTCTGAGACAGGCTATCTCTAAATTGCCCAGGCAGGCCTTGAACTTACTATCTTCTTGCCTCAGCCGTCAGAGTAGCTAGAACTACAGGCCATCAACATATACATGTGTGTGTGTGTGTGTGTGTGTGTGTGTGTGTGTGTGTATAGCTGCTGTCCCATTTTTATTTAAGACAGGGTTTCTCTGTGTAGCCCTGGCTGTCCTGGAACTCACTCTGTGGAGCAGGCTGATCTCAGACTCACAGAGTTCCATCTGCTTCTGCCTCCTTAGTTCTGGGGTTAAAGACATGTGCCACCATACCCAACTTGCAGTCACTTAAGACTTAAACAAAGCTGGGGTACTATTTTGAGAAATCTGCCTATTTTTAAAATAATAATATTTTTATTAATTCTTTGAAAATTTCATACATGTTTATAATGTCTTTGCCTAACTTTTCTTTTCTTCAAGACAGGGTTTCTCTGTAGTTTTGGAGCCTGTCCTGGAACTAGCTCTAGTAGACCAGGCTGGCCTTGAACTCACAGAGATCCGCCTGCCTCTGCAACCCAAGTGCTGGGATTAAAGGCGTGCACCACTACCACCTGGCTTTCTTTGCCCAACCTTTAAAGCTATCTCAGATTCAATAATTAGGTCTAACTTTTTTTAAATGTCAAAACAATCAAGGGTGTGGTAGTTTGAATGTAATTGGCACCCATAAACTCATAGGGAGTGGCATTTATTAGGAGGTGTGGCTTTACTGGAGTAGATGTGGCCTTGTTGGAGGGAGTTTGCCAACATCGGGGAAGGGTTTAAGGTCTTATAAGTGTTCAAATTTAAGTACAGCCCACCATCCTAGCAGGTAGCACTTTAGAATCAGGTTCCTCAGTAAGGCAACAAAATCACATACTTGGGCCCTTGATTCAAGTCCTATGTAAGCTTTATGACCGTTATGACCCTAGAAAACTTGTAAGCCATGTTAAGAATTTAGCAAGTGGTGGGCTGGGGATATGGCTCACATGACACAGTGCTTGTCTAGCATGTGTGAAGCCCCGAGCTCAATCAGAGCATAAACTGGGCACAGTGATACAAGTGCATAAGTGCAGCACTGGGAGGTAGAGGCAGGAAGATCAGAAGCTGGAGGTCATCCTTAGTTATAACTGATTTAGGGCCAGCCTGGGATCCAAGTCTCAAACAAATCAATAAGAAAACCAGACCCACACAAATAGTAATAAAAAATAAGAAAAAAAAACAAAAAAGAATTGGGGTGTATGACTTAGTAGAATACAGGCTTTGCATACAAAAATCTCTTACTCAAGGTCAAGGGGCTCCCTATCTCCTAAAAAGAATTCAACAAAAAAATTATAGGCCTTCTTTGCTTTCTTCCTGATTTATGAAAGCTAACCCTAGAGTGTTATTTCTCTTCTGTATGTGGTACAGGGGACTGAACTCAGGCAAGTGCTCTAACAAGCTATGGCCCCAGCCCTAAAGCACTATTCCTAATTGAAAAACTGTAGCAACATATTTCACTGCTTTCACAAAATGAAATGTCAAAATATTTGACGCCCCTGCATACTTTTTAAAGATATGGATAATGGGGCTTCTAGTGTGTAAAGATACAATGAATTTGGACATCAAGGATGAAGAGCTGCTAACAACAAGTTAGACTGCAGTGAAGATGTCTAAAGCCGACACTGGCTCAAATCTATAAATGCCAGCAGTTGAGAGGACAGGGCAAGAGGATCGATCGCCTTGAGGTCAAGGCTGGCTGTCTTTTTTTGTTTGTTTGTTTGTTTGTTTTTTGAGACAGGGTTTCTCTGTAGCTTTGGAGCCTGTCCTGGAGCTGGCTCTGTAGACCAGGCTGGCCTCGAACTCACAGAGATCGGCCTGCCTCTGCCTCCCAAGTACTGGGATTAAAAGCGTGCGCCACCACCGCCTGGCTCTCCTTTTCTTATATAACAAGCTAATGATATTAATATGTCATGCCTTTTTCATCCTTATTCTAATAGAAGGTCTCACTATGTAGCCCAGAGTGGTGTTGAACTCATAATCCTGCTTCAGCCTCCTGAGGGCTAGGATTACAGGCACGGACCATCACACCTGGCCTTTTCAACTTATATTTGGGTAGACACCTGAGCATGTAAGGGTCAGAGGAAAACCTGTAGTTGGTTCTTTCCACCATGCGAGTCCCAGGGATGAAACTCGGATTGTCTAGCTTAGAAACAAGCACTCTACTCACTAAAGCATCTTGCTGGCCTCTTGTCAACTGTTTCTCTTGAGAAGCTTTAAATCAACTGAAATATTTTATAAAATTAGTACAGTGAGTACCCACATATCCTCCTCCGAGGATTCAGAAAATGGTAACATTTTGTTACATTTGCCTTTTCTCTCTTTAATGTATGTGTGCACAGTTTTTTCACACATTATTTTTGTGCAGATTCATTTAAAAGCTGTAAATATCAAGACCATTTACTCTTAAATATTTCAATATTTCAGCTTGTATCTTCAAGAATAGGGGCAGTTGCTATTGATCAAGACTTTTTTTTTGAGAGGGTCTATTAAGAAAAGATTTAAATATAGATTTAAGCATGTATGTTAAAAAAGGGGGAGAGGTGATCAAGGCATACCTCATACAAAGGTGCATACTTTGACTGAGGAGATGGGGAGGAAGGAGGATCAGAAGTTCAAGGCCAGCCTAGGCTATACAGTAGTTAAGGCCAGCATGAGCCACACGAGACTTTGTCTCAAGCAAACAAATTAGAAATAGAAAAGAGAGGAGATGGGAAGATGGCTCAGCAGTTAAGATCACAGGCTGCTCTTTCAGAGAATTTGTTCCCAGTACCCACATGGTGAATCACAACTATATGTAACTACAGTTCTGTGGTATCTGATGGCCTCTTCTAGCTTCCTCAGGTACTGCACACATGTAGGCAAAGCCACCATACACATCATCATATAAAAATAAGTAAAATCAGGCCGGGCGGTGGTGGCACATGCCTTTAATCCCAGCACTCAGGAGGCAGAGGCAGGCGGATCTCTGTGAATTCAAGACCAGCCTGGTCTACAGAGCTAGTTCCAGGACAGGCTCCAAAGCTACAGAGAAACCCTGTCTCGAAAAACCAAATAAATAAATAAATAAAATCAAAAAACAAGTCAAGTCATTAATGACAGAAAAAGGGAGGAAGAGGAAGGAAAGCGAGCCATATAAGAGGCGAGGAAGTAGTACACATGCTCAAGAGGGCACAGGCTTCCCAAGAGCAACCCAACCAAAATATCCTAAACCAGTGGCTCTCAACCTTCCTAATGCTGCGACGACCCTTTAATACAGAACCTCATGTGCTGACCCCCAGCCATAAAGTTACTTTTGTTGCTACTTCATAACTGTAATTTTGCTACCATTATGAATCATAATTAAATATTTTTGGAGATAGAGGTTTGACAAAGGGGTTACCTACAGGTTGAGAACTGCCATCCTAATAATGGAAACACACATTCATCATAGGTGCACATCTGTAATCTTATCACTCTGGAGCCTTAAGCAAGAATCTGTGTCCTTAGAAGTTAACTAACAAGAAAACTAGGATATCCAGGGATCATATTCCTCCTGATGTGACGACAGAGCAAGGGAGCACAGCATCACTTAAGAATATTCTTTTTTTTTTCAATAAAAAAAAAAGAATATTCTTGCCGGGCAGTGGTGACTCACGCCTTTAATCCCAGCACTTGGGAGGCAGAGGCAGGTGGATCTCTGTGAGTTTGAGACTAGACTGGCCTACAGAGTGAGTTCCAGGACAGGCTCCAAA